CAGGAAGGGTTCTGCAGTTTTATCACTTCTGAAGATGGAAACAGAAACACGTCAGCATGTTTTCTTTCTGAAAGAAATGATCTCTGGATGATCAGACTCTCTTGATGTTTAATCATACCAGAAAACTGGTTTGACCTGAATTTAAATTCATCTTTTGAAGAGGATATTTGTGGCGTTCTTACCTGTGATGGGGATTCGTCAGGAAGACCAACGATGGGCTGAAGTGCCAGCCTTTATACTCCAGTGGAGGAGGAGCAACAGGTCACATGATCTCACACAAACTAGTGAAAAATGGCTGAAAACAGACAGAAAAGTTTAGATTTAACTCGTATATTAGTTGACTTTCCAGAAGGTAAAGTTTCAATTTAAAAGGAAAATGACAGAAAACATATTGCGTATTTAAATCTATTATTTCATCTATATTTCACTATAATTTATATATTATTGCACATTTTTCTTTTACTAAATGTTTGGTGTTAAACTAAGAAACAAAATAAAAACTAAGGTTTGTATATTTTCTTCACTACTTCAATTTTAATCACTGGACATTATTTCTTATTGTAAATTTTCCTTCTACTGACACTCACGCACACTCACACACACACACACACACACGCACACTCACACACACACACACACACGCACACACCCTTTTCAGCTGAGGACATTGCATTGACTTCCATTATATCCCCAGCTGTTTGCTGTGCATATAAAACACAACAAATCGAGATCTGCTGACTTCGATCCAATCAGACGCTCTCTGTGGACGTAAAGGCAACATATTTTATCTGATTGATAAAACAGAATAAAACTGTTTCTGTCTCAGCAACATCTACTTACAAAACAGCATGACTTGAAAATCTGGACGGCTTTTAAAAATGTTGCTCAGCAGGAACTTTGTTTTTGTAGCTCGAGAGTCTGAAGGGGAAGTGAGACTGCATCAGGTAGGAACAGGAGCCGTACATGCTGCCAAAACCACCTTCTGCTCAAACACCCTTTCCTGCAATAGTCAGAGACGTCTGGCATGCAGGAACTTTGGTTCCTGGCGGTAAAACGTAGTTTCCACTACGATGTTAGAAACATCTTTTTATTGAGATTTGACCAAAAACTGGCATAATCAAAAATAACTGACACTTTTCTGAGACTAGTCAACCGAAGAATCTTTCTGAGGACTAGTCTTAATAAAAGAACAATGTTTTGTTACTCAGAGCTTCACCTCCTGTTCAGCAGCTTTCTCTTTATTTGCTCTGATGGAGAGAAGTCGTCATCTTTGGACCAGAGCTTCTGAAAAAGAAACTTTCTTCAACATTACTGGATCTGATGACGCTGAAGAGGCGGGAAGGAGTTTAACGCTGAGGGCGGACACATACCAGAACCTGACAGATCCATAAATGATTTGAATGGCTAATCCAACTCGTTACTATTTCCAGTCTAGTAATCTGATTCAAGTAATTAATCAGATGACTTTAACCAGTAATCTGATTAAAGTCACTTTTCCGAGTCATTGTGCGTTATTTTTGTCATTTTGAGGTAAAAAGGTGCATTTCCTCTTGCGTCTCAGGGCCCCACGTGTAAAACCTGCAGCGATGCAAACATAAGTGATGGAGGGAGGAGAGAGAGCCGAGGTTTCCACCTGGAAATAAAAGCTGAAGTTCATAACATCCAGGTTGGTTCCCTCTGTGCTGGAGGCAAAGTGTTGTTGCTACACCCTTGAAAATAGGGGAGACAGAATAACCGCAGTGACTCTTCCTAATGCAGTTTAATGCCTGGAGGAGAAGAACGCCCCCTTGTGGTAGATGGAGGCACTACGAGTCAACTCCAGGACAGGCTTCCTGCCGATGTTCAGATCATTTCCTTCAACAGGATGGCACACACATTAATACATCAAAAATAACTTTTCAAATATGTTCATACATTTTTTATGATTGTGCCAATTAATATAGATTAATATTTATTGTAAACCTTTTTCACATAAACAAAAGCTCAAAACTAATGTTAAAACTAATTATTCACTGTTAATATTCATTTAAAACAAAAACGTCACGTTGTAATTTTACGTTTTGTGTCATGCCTTTTACTAAAGGCATAGCATAGCTACTGTGCTAGCTGTGTTAAGTGAAACTGGTCCAATAGGCCCAAGCAGATCCAAACTCAGTGCAGCAGTCACGGCCCAAGGCTTTTCCTCTGGTCTCCAACTTCTCGGCTCCAGAAAAACGATGATCAGCGACTTTCAACGGGGTCCAAGCCCATTGTTGCAAGGCGGCAGCTCAGTGAAATCTGCTGTGAATTGGCTCTATAGAAATAAACTGAAATGAACAGGTGAGTTCATCGCCCTGATCTTCAACTGTTTGGTTGATTAAACAGGAAAAACTGTCTTCTCTGAGTTTTGCTGTTTCTCAGTAACATCAACGTTATGTCAAATCCAGAAGGTGTCTTGGAAATCCAGACAGCTTTTGGAAACGTTGCTCAGCAGGAGATGGATTTGTTTTTGTGTAAATCTGCAGTCTGAAGGGAAACAGAAACATTATTTTAGCACATCCATACACCCTTTAATGTTTACACTAAATCAAGTAGGAACACATACCAAAGGGTAAATTGTTGTTCCTTGGAAATGGTAAAAAAAAATATTGATCGTGTGACCAAATAGGAGGACAGCATCGTTTAATGACGTTTGTGAAGGTAGGAACCTGGTGGGTTAGACTGAACTGCCCCCCAGGGGCGTTTCAGCTTCATCCCCATCAGAACAGCAAACACTCACAGACAACCACATGAAAACACACTCCGATAAAACACTACCTGAAATCTACCTCCTCCCAACGTCTGGCACAATTTTTCATATTTTTTAAGGAAGTTTGTCATTTTAAAATCTGATCTGCTGCTGGTCCAGCACCATGCACCCAAAGCCTAATGCTTCCTGTATTAGTCCAATGTAAGTAACCCTTCATGCTAACCCTGCAAAGCAGCTCTTTATATTTCGAGCTTTTATACATTTGTCCAAAACTATGACTGAGTGTCTCTCATGTTAGCTTTTCACCTAAAAACATTTTATTTTAATTTTTGATTTTCCAGTTTACATTGTAAACAAACATTACCTATACCAGTTAAACTTTACTTTTGTAATATGCTCCTGCGATTTATTTACAATAAACTCCAAGTTCTTTCCTCTTTTCCAAATTTCCCATCTTCCTCACTCTTTCTTTGCTCGTCCTCTTAGTTTTTCCCGTTTTTCCTGTGATGTAATGCAGGACATCTTCTGATCAGTGGTATTCAGTCCAGGTAGACGCTTCCTGCTTCAGGTCATTTGTAAAAACCTAATTCTTAATGTTCACGTTTGCATTAGTTTCTGTGAGGCATCCTCTGGACCTGTGGCCTTTTCCATAGTTAATCAGATTTAGGTCAGCATCGCCCTCTTGTGGTCAGGATGCAGCTGCACAAGTGACTTATTGAAAGTTCAGGTACAATTTATACAGTTAACTAAACTGTCAGTTTATTCTCTGATTCATATGTTTCTTTCTTTAAGTCAAAGTTACATCTATAATGCTGCAGTAATGATAAAATTATATTCTGGAGTTAAAATGTCATTTCCGTTTCTTTTTGCTGCTGGATTTTTTCATTCGTGTCAGGAATAAGAGATAAGATAAGATATTCCTTTATTAATCCCGCAGTGGGGAAATTTACATTGTTACAGCAGTATAAAAAGCAAAACCAATATGAAAAACTATATATACACAGTAAAATCAAGTGAATATAGAAATACTAAAAAACAGTATTATTCGAAATTTAAATAAATAAACAATTTCCAGGTTTATTGCCTGTAGTAGAGAGTGGTGAACTACTTAGAGCAGTGGGTGTTGTACAGTCTGACGGCGGCTGGAAGGAAAGACCTGCGGTATCTTTCCTTCACGCACTTAGGGAGCCGCAGCCGGGCGCTGAAGGAGCTGCTCAGTGCTGTCAGAGGGGGGCATGGGGTGTGAAGGGTAGGCCAGCATGGCGTAATAAGTTCAGGTTGTGTTTAGAGTCTTTATTTTTTTACTTACATAAGCCACATGCCCCAATATAATATCCTGGAATTAGCTGGCTGAATGTTAGGCAATAAGAAACACACATTTACATTCACTCTATGTTGTTTAAAACATTCAGAACAGCTTCATCAGCAACAGGCACAGACCCGGTTCTGGCTAAAACACAGAGTGAGCCAAGAGTTCAACCTGGACTCAGATTATTTTGTTTTTTCTATCTGAAAAGAAACAATAATTTCATTCCTGATGATGTTCTGCCTTTCAGAACCAACTGAAACTTTCTGACAGGGAAAAACTATGAAACTTATTCAGGAGGTTAAACCAACAGTCAGCAGATTATTCCAAGTCTGATTTAGAATAAATCTGCAGATTATAAAAATGCTCCACCAGGAAGAGATCTAATGTGGAAAAGCAGCAGATTTAAAACATGCTGTCAGCTTGTGATTTAAAAAGTTAACAGTCCTCAATGATTTGACTTCTTTTAAGGAAAACTAGATTTCAGTTCTTTACTGCAACACACTGCATAGAGGAAACTCAGAAAGATTTTCACTGCAGAATCATCTCAGTGAAACCTTCCAGACATGACATTTAATATTTGGTATTCTTCCATTTCTTCCACTCTGAGACATTGTAAACTTTTGACTGGTAGCTTGTTAAAATGGACCATAATTTGGTTTTACTTGCCGGCAGTAATTGAACAGATCAGAACCTTCCAGCTGCTCATTCAGCATTTTCTTGTTTTCTCAGGCCCTCCAGTCTCAGCACCATCTCTGCGTCTCCATTTTCTGTCAGTAGGTCCAGATATGCGGATGCTGGATCCTCCTTCAGGTCAATCTGCTGCAGTCTGACAACATGTTTGTAGATCTCATCAATGATCTGGGACTTCTTTGCTTTCTGATGTCTTATTTCCTCTTCCAGATGATCTAACAGGCTGATATTCTTCTCACTTTCCGTCTCATTCCTTTCGTACTTCTTCCTCACATCCAGAAGCGTCGTCTCAACTCTCTTTGTTTTGGTCACATACCTCCACTCTTCTTTCACATGAGCTGAAACGGGACACTTGTTGGTACAAACAGCACAGAAACCGTCTTTTATCACCTCACAGTCTTCTGGTGTCTTGGCGACTGTGCATCCAGGATAATGACAGTTTTCTTCACAGACGGTGCAGCAGAGGGCGCCGTCATAAAAAAACCACAACCATTTCCCACCCTTGATGGGTTCTGTATCTTTATAGACTACATCCATTTCTACAGAGAAGCTTTCATTGCTTTTCTTCTCTTCTGCATGGTTCTGCAGAGCTTTTTGAATCTGTTTGAGTTCTGCTGCCTTTAAATCCGTCAGCTGGATTCTGTCCTGCAGGTTCTGGATGCCGGCTTTAAGTCGGCCGTGCTCATGAAGCTCTTCAACTGCTGCCAAAACCATTCGACCTTCGGCTTCTTTCAGAAAACCTGTGAACTTCCAGAGTTCCCTCTCTGATAATTTATAAGCCTGCTCCAGCTCGTCGGTATTTCCGGTCCGGTCTTCATGCTGCCGGTTATTAAACAGGAAGTAAAATGGCTCCTTCTTTTCATTTCTAAGAAATTTAATTTGTGTAGTTTCCAGATCTTGGATGATGTTGCTGTGATTTTGTCCATCTGAGTTTGTGATTAAAATGACTGTGCATTTGTCCTCTCGTTCTGCAAACAGAGACATGACTGAGTCGTACGTGTGCTTCAGTCGGCTGCTCTGCAGAGCGTCAGCTGCGTTCAGCACCAGGCACACAACAGCTGCTGCCCTGTCCTCCACCTGCAGGACGTCTGATAGCCGTTCTCTGAAAACGGCGTCTCTCTCAGTGCCTTCATGTCCAGCATCAATGATGGTCAGAGGGCAGGGCAGAGATTTATCTTCAAAACCAAAGATCTCGTAAATCATCCCTTCTGTTGCCTGATGTCCTTCCTCCTCTGTGACCCGGAACCAGACTTCATCATCAAACCTGACTCCTATCATGTAGTTCAACAGAGCGTTTATCACAGCACATTTTTCTGCTCTTGCTTCACCAATAAGTACAATTTTTCTGTTCATCTCATCCGTTTTTTTCTCACCAACAGTGACTCGGGTCAAAGGTCCAGACTTCTCTTTTTCTACTGCAAGCTGATAGACAGAAGGACATCCTGACTGGATCAGAACACTTTTAGAGATCATTCCCCTCAGAGAGATGTTCTGAGTCCTGCAGGAATCAGACATCAGATCAGTCAAGTATCAAGTGAGCTAAATATGAAATGATCAGACAAGTAAAAAGTTTCAGATGTTTTAAACTGAGTTTCTCTCAGAGAAGATGGAGCATTGAGGAATCAAGGAGACATTGAGTTCCCATGGGTTGTCTTTCTAACAGAAACTAAGGCTGTGTTCACACTGCAGCCTGAAGTGACCCAATTCCGATTTTTGTTAAGTTTTTTTTGCCGTGGCCATTCACACTTCCAAATATATGCGACCTGTATGTGATCTCCAGTGTGAACGGGCAACGACCTGAAAGTAGGGCTGGGCGATATATCAAGTATACTCGATATATCGCGATATTTTCAATTTACGATAGTTAAAATAGCTAAATTGTCGTTCAAATAATAAACTTTCATAGTCAAATTCACTGCGAGTTTGGTTTACCCGACAGCCTATGAATGCACCACTAGTCCCTCGCCCCTCCCAACCTGAACATTTTCTACCAATCACACTGCAGAGAAAACAAACATGGCGACAGCGAGAGTTTGAGCCGTGAAAGAGACGGAAACTGAAGAGGAGTCAGATAAACTATCTGAACAGAATCAGCGCTGGATCAATAACTTGGCAGTAGTTTGGATTTTATATGGAGGATGTCGAACAAAATGAGGTCATTTGCGAAACATATAAAACTATTGCGACAAAAGGCTGAACCACAGATTTAATTCACCACCTAATCAGACTATTTTTTTACATGCCGTTCATAACCGGTAGAACTAGACCGTTAAAGTGAAACCTGGAGACTTGGTAGGATCCACTTGGTGCTATGCAGTGGGAAAATAACTCAAAACTACTCATTCTTTTTTCTCGCTCTGGCGGATTTACGATACACGCAGACTTGTTGCCATAGCAACTGACAACAACGCAACTTTATGTTCAGGATTCAGGACCAAAAACTCTGAATCATTATATAGAGCAGAATATTCAGTTCGTAAACATTTTCGGTTTTTAGGCTTGATGTGGATTTTGCTTTTATTAATAAATGACCACAGTGGTAGATTAGCCACCGCTGCTATTAGCCATGCTAACACAGCGGTGGTAGCTTAGCCACCGCTGCTATTAGCCACGCTAACACAGCGGTGGTAGCTTAGCCACCGTTGCTATTAGCCACACTAACACAGCGGTGGTAGCTTAGCCACCATTGCTATTAACCACGCTAACAAAGCAGTGGTAGATTAGCCACTGTTGCTATTAGCCACGCTAACACAGCAGTGGTAGATTAGCCGGCATTGCTATTAGCCATGCTAACACAGCGGTGGTAGATTAGCCGCCGTTGCTATTAGCCACGCTAACACAGCGGTGGTAGATTAGCCGCCATTGCTATTAGCCACGCTAACACAGCGGTGGGTGATTAGCTAATTTAAACACCTGCTTTACTGATGATCTGTCAGTTTGTGTGTTTGTTGCCTTTTTATTTAAACTGAACCAAAACACACCTTATTCCACAGCACATCTATATGTTAAGTTTGTCAAAGTCAAGCATCACTGTCTACTTCCCTCTATTTTTTTCTTAATTAAAATTTATTTCTCACCTTGTTATCTAGTGTAGGTAGTTCAAAGCAAAAATACTGCATCACTTTTTAAATGGGTCTAGCAGAGAAATCGGCGGGAGCTGGCCTGGGTGGCATCACGCTGCAAGGGGTCTATAGTTTAAAATAACATTGGAGATCAGTTAAGAATACCGTGATATATATCGTGTATTGTGATATAGCAAAAATATATCAAGATCTTAGATTTTCCTCATATCCCCCAGCCTGAACGTGTCCTGCATGCACAATAGAGGGCGCAATAACAGAGTGTTTGGAGTCTCAGTGTTTGCAGAAGTAAACATGGAGGCTAATGGTGGAGCTTAGCTTACAGTTGAGGTTGTTGTCCGACCGGAGCAGCAAATTAACAACTTAATCCTCATTATAGTCCGTCATGGTGGTTGTTTTTCTTCGCCCTCGTGCATCAGGACGCAGAATAGTGAGATTTGTTGAGAATCAGGGACTTTCAGGCTGGATGGATGCGAACTGGACGTTTGAAAAGATCTGGATACGTATCGGATATCCAAGTGGCCTGGGTCATATTTGGCAAAAAAAAAAAATCCAACTTATGTTGTTCAGACTGTTATGAAAAGATCAGAGTTAGGTCGCATAACAGAAAAAAAATCAGAATTGGGTCACTTCGGGCTGCAGTGTGAACGTTTGTGGGAAATGGGTTGCTGTGAAAGCCACTATTGGATGTTTTTACTCACCAAATAGTTATTTGTGTACATCTTTGACACAGCTCCTCTCCTGATGGGCCCAGCTCGTTGCTCCTCAGGTCCAGCTGTCTCAGGCTACGTAACTCCAGCAGCGTGAGGGCATCACAAGCATCTTCTGACAGCTTACAGTCACAGACCCTTACGCAGAGACGGAGATATGAAAAAGTGTTTTTCTGGAAGCTTTAATGTAGAACAAAGCCTAGATATTTCTGTTAATCAATAAAAGCTGACCTTAATGTCTCCAGTTTACAGTGTGGACTGCTGAGTCCTGCAGATAGGAGCTGCAGTCCTGAGTCCTGCAGGTCATTGCTGCTCAGGTCCAGCTCTTCTAGACTGCAGGACTCTGATCCAAGAACCGAGGACAGAGTCCCACAGCTTCCCTCTGACAAGTTACAGCAGATGAGCCTGAAATGAGGAAGAAACTCTGAATATTCATGTCAGCGTGTGTGTGTGTGTGTGTGTGTTTTCTCTCTCAGAGTTATCTTGCAGTGCTGTGCAGTGTGTCTGAGCAGCTGCTGGCTGTAGGAGCTTCATGTCATCAACGCTCCGTCCAGCTTCTCACCTCGGCTCTGCAGCTGAAGGGCTTTGGTTGCTGCACTGGAGGTTCGTTGCCAGAGACTTGGAACCAGGTAAATTACTTCAAGAAAGTTACTATGTGACGCTAAAAAGGTTCACAACCAGAGAAAAAGAGGTCCTCCTGTTTGTTAAACCACATTCTTTAAACTTTAGAGATCAGAAATATCACCAATCTGTTGCTCTCCTATTTCGAATAGTCTACCGTTTTTAACTAGCAACATGGAAACCACTGACTAATTTAGCAATGCCAATGCTGAGTCTCTGCCATCAGATCCCGGCTGGGAAACGTCCCGTTAATCTGTAAAAGTCGGGCCATGCTGACCTGAGAGTTTCCAGTTTACAGTCAGGACTCTTCAGCCCCGCAGCCAGCAGCTCCACTCCTGAATCTCTGAGGTCGTTGTTGCTCAGGTCCAGCTTCCTCAGACCGCAGGACCGACAGCTAAGGACTGAGGACAGAGCTGCACAGCTTCTCTCTGAAAGGCTGCAGCCGGTCAGCCTGGAAGAGATGAGACAGTGAAACCTCAGTAAATTGTTTTCTTTGTTCAGCTCGTCATAATGAAGCTGAAGCTCACAGTGATGTCTTGGAGGTTTTAACCACTGGCAGGAGAGCAAGGAGAGTCTCTTCTGAAGGGAAGTATTTCTTCAGGTCAAACACATGTAGGTCTTTTAGTGATGAAAGTAATATGAAGAGCAGCGCTGACCAATGAGACGGTTCATCCACGGATCCTGTTTCTGATTTCAGGAACTGCTGGACCTCATCGACTGCAGAACCGTCCATCAGCTCATTCAGACATGGGAACAGAGAGATCTTTCTTTCTGGAGAAGGGCTGTTTCTGATTTTATTTTTAACATGATCAACAGTCAGCTGTCCGCTCTGTGAGCTACTTCCTGTCTGCGGCAGTAGATCTTCAAGATGAAGCTGACTTCTTTGCAGAGAAAGACCAAGGAGAAAGCGAAGAAATGTGTCCAGGTGTCCATCTGAACTCTTTACGGCTTTGTCGATGATTTCATAGAAGGTCTCCTGCTTTTGGCTGTAAATGAAGCCTGGAATTGGGAAAGCAGTTTTTGGTTTGTTTCCAATGCGGGAGACGACAAACAGAGCAGCCAGAAACTCAACTATGCTCCAGTGGAGGAAGCTAAACACTTTCTTTCCACTCATCTTCAGACAATGCTCCTCCTTGAAGAACTGTGAGAAAACTTCTGGATATGCAGAAAAATCATCGAAGCTGTTAACGTCGCCCTCCTTTATGCTTTCCACAGAAAATGACAGGCCACCATTTTCTAGCTGGTTGAAAGCAAGTTTCATCAAGGTCTCCAGGTACTTCAAGCTTCTTGGTTTGCCAAACTTTTGTTTCATGGTTTGGATCTGAGCCATGAGGATCTCAATGTAAATCCCAGTTAAAGTACTGGGCAGTTCTCCTCCAGTGCTGGTCTTTAACACGGCCTGCAGAACTCCAGCAGTGATCCAGCAGAAGACTGGGACATGGCACATGTACCGCAGGCTCGGTGACACCCTGACGTGGGAGACGACCCTGCAGGCCTGCTCTTCGTCTCTGAATCTCCTTCTGAAGTACTTTTCCTTCTGCTGCTCAGAGAAACCTCGGAGCTCTGTCTCCATGTCGATGAATTCAGGAGGAATCTGGCCGGCGCCTGAAGGTCGCGTGGTGATCCAGAGGCGAGCCGAGGGAAGCAGATGCCCTCGAATCAGGTTCGTCACCAGCGTTCCCACTGGAGCAGCTCTGGTCACATCAACCGGCAGTTTTTCTGCAGCAGTGAAGTCCAGAGGAAGTTGGCTCACATCCAGCCCATCCAGTACAAAAATGATTTTATATTCGCTCTTATCAAAATTAGAGTTTCCTGATGTCTGCAGTGACGTGAAGATGCGGTTGAGTTCCTCCTTTGTCATGTGTGCAGTTCCAGGAATACACGTGTGGATCAGTTCAGACAGACTGAGTGTCTCCTGCCTTGGGAAATTCACCAGGTTGAGGGGAAATATCAGATGAACATCCTGACTGGTTCTGTTTTCTGTCCAGTCAAGAACAAATTTGTGAACCAAGAAGGTTTTTCCCACTCCTGCCTCTCCGCTGGTCATCACTGTTCTGACGTTGGTCTTTGTTCCTGACCGGTGTGTGAATATGTTGCTGATGTTTGGTTCAGACGGCTCTCCAAACGCCATTTCAATCCTTCTGATGAACCTGGAGGCGGGCCGGTCTCCTGCTGTGATGCACGGCTCAGTGTAGCCTTCGTCTAAACTGACTGTATTCCTTTTTGAACTCCACCCTTCATGTCTACACCTGAATGTGTCCTGGAGGTTTGATTGCAGCCTTTCTTTGTGGCTTCCAACAGATTGTGGATTTTCCATGTCTTTGTAGGACAGAAACACACAAGGGACAGAAAATGAATCACTAACTGGTTGCTTCTATATCACCGGCCCAAAAGACCAACTGATCAGCCCCACCCAGCTGCCTGGTGACGTACCTCTGTGGATGTTTGCCAGCTGATCCTGGAGGTCATTTCTGTAGATCTTCTGGAGGTTCTTCTTCAGCACCTGCACAGCCAGGTGGTTGTACTTCTGCACCATCTGATCCACCGTCTCCTGTCGGTCTGCGTTCTCCAGATGACTCTTTGGGATGACTGGAAGACCATCGAGCTCATCCGACTGCTGCAGGAACCACTTAAAGCTACGAAATTCTTCATCTCCCAGCTGCTGCAGGGTCTCAAACAGTATTTGTTTCAGAGCCATTGGGTCCTGCTGAACACAGATCAAATAGTTTGATTTTAGCATTTTTTCACTTTGACATTTTAAACCTCAGCTTCAGATTGCATAAAGGCTCCCAGCTCTGACTCATAGCAGGTGTTTGTATACCATTTGAAAGCAAACCACAGCTGGTCTAATGGAAAACAGGTCCTGTTGTCTGCGTGTCATAGTTTCTTCTTAGTGGTGAGACTGAGCGGCTTCCTGTTTTTGCTGGTCAGCCTTCAGTTTCCGACTAGAAGCTCTGCTGTGTTCATCAGTCATGAATAATCACATGTAGAATTAGAAAAGCCCTGAAAGACACCGTCTGATTAAAATGCATTATTTTTATTACTTTTAGGAGAACTGTTAGAAACGGAGGCATTGCTGCCACGGTTATTCAGACATGCTGTCTCACCATTTCCAGTCAGTGTTTTGCTCTTATGCCGCCTTTAGAAATGAGATCCCTGAAACGTTTTGCAGTTTCATAATGTCTCCCCGCTGCTAGCAGAATAAATCTGTCTTTCCGGCCACCGCACCGTTCAGCCTCACTTCATGCAACGGTGCATAAAGAAATTCTGTGTTGGTTTTTCTGGACAGAGTGGATCGTGACATACAGAATAAAATCATTTACATGATGCTTCTTAGCCAGTCCTGCTCTCATCAAACCACTTCCTTCCTCACCGCGTGAACATTACAGCTGAGGGAGCAAAAGGTTTGACAAGAGGCTTCTTTACTCTGTGTGGGTCTTTTACTGATTACGTCCATACAAATGAACCTTCCAGGTCATAAAATCCATGCCAGGCTCTGTGCTTCTGGAGAGAGTTCAATGATGAGGTTCAGTCATTTCTGTACTTTTAACAGAGTTGAACTCACCAGTTAAAGATCAAAGCTTTGGAACGTCTGCAGTCTGAAGTTCTTCACATCATCAGTTAATCCAACAGTTCCTCAGCTTTTAAAGCATGCTGAGACTCAACATGCTACCTGTCACATTTTACTCCCAGCCTTCAGTGCAAACAGCCACGTGACACAGAGAGCAGCCCACAGGTTCAGCAAACTCCCGCTGTGGCAGCACGTTTCCAGACTTACTCATTGGCCTTGGCATCATTCATCTCTGTTAGTTTAAACTACACTGCACTGGTGCACGTATCACCTCTGCACCAGGAACCACTGAACACTTTGATACACTAGTTGAAAACACTGTTAGAGATACCAGTTCATCATTCTGTCTTACTAGAACTTTTTCTCCCCGAAGTTCACAAAATGTTCCCTAGTAAAAGTCCTGACTAGCAGACACTGACTTGGGCTAATTAGATGAAAATTATGCCTTTCTAATCAACATTTAAAACCCCAACATGCAAAACTAGCAAAAGCAGAAAATGTCCACTAGTTTACTGGTGAGCCCTACATGTGTGCACCAACCTGCATCTTTAAAACTTAACTTAACTGAAATGTGTTCAGCTGCTCCATCCAAAGACCTGTGAGTTTGGTGGCAGCAGAATATCGAGTTAGTTTGGGGAAAAGTTTTAACTGTAGTTTTACATTTGTAAAAAAGAAAGAAAGAAAGAAAGAATATGTGGCTAATTGCAAGAATAAATATACAAATGTCTTGCCATACTGTCCCAACCCAGGCCCTCCCAGTGATGGTTTGTTGATCTGGGTCAGTAAAGCCATTAAACCCATCAGGTTCATAACTGGATTTTAAATATTGATGGAAAACAAAAGAGGCAACTTGCATTTATTGATTTTGTTTAGTTTGTGACAGATAAATTAGTGTTACTGGTCAGCTGCAGTGGCACTGAAGGGGTTACTCTACGGCCGCGTTTCCAGGTGGATCCAAACCTGGAGCTGCTGGCAGTCAGGATGTGATTGCAGGTTTTCGTTAGTTAAACATTTCTTTGTTTTGGAAACCAGGAGCACTTCCACCTTTGACCTCCGTCTGGTAATAAACACATCAAACTAGGACAGATGCTTTAAAATATTGTGTAGCAGTTAATAATTAACACAGATATAAATCATAACATGTAACCTACACTGAGATTAGAAACCGTTTATAATCTCCAGAAACTATTTTTTCTGGAGATTAGGAACGATATGCAGTCGTTTCTAACTGTAGATTTTATTTTGGCTTGATTTTTTTCCATCACATTCAGACTGGTTCTGGAATATTATCCATTACTAGATTGTGCAGAATAAGTTTCCATCGTCTTCACTTGGGCGTAAATATATCCACTTTTATTAAGATTTTCTTGGATTGTGAAGGTTAAATTTGGGTTTTAACCTGCCAACCTCTCTTAGTGTCATTTAAATTGTTTATATTACATTTAGCCATTATTTGCTTTATTTTAGAAATTTCAAAACTAAATTTTAAGTATTTGTCTAATACTTTTCCCCATTAAGCTGCATGTCTTCAGTTTATTTACCGATAGAAAAGCATAACTGTCCACCAGCACTAGGTGGCAGCGCTGCACCTGTTTGCCAAACGTGACCAAACACCTCACAGTAATCTAATATTCTGAGTCAAAACGCTGATTGTGGTGGTTTAGCTGAAATTAAGAGACAGATTTGGACCACAGAGACTTTGTCCTGGTCCGCCTCCTCATTTACATACAGCTCTACGTCACATAACGTCAGCATGTGGCTCCCCCTGCTGGAGAAACATCTACAAAATTACCAGAATTAAAGAGCATGCAAAAAAAAAAACCTGTCGTAAAATTATAAAAGGAAATGAAATTAGCTTAAAGATACAAAACATAGAAAACATGAAGTCATGAGCAGCTAAAGAGCATTTTCTGATCTCAAAGTATTCTGATTATTCTTTACCAGAATACTTTTATTTATTTAAATACTAATTTGACTTATATAAAAAAAAGTCATCCAACCAGCGTCGGGATAAAAATATACTTTTTATTGTTCTTCAGATTTTGATGACAGCAGATTATTGTCACAGACAGAATTTCATCTTTATGAGTAAAACATGGCAGAACTTTATTAACCTTTTGTTAAAAATTACTTCTGTCATTCAGTCCCTGAAAGCAGAGGCCGCACACACACACACACACACACACACACGCTCATCAAACTACTAAATGAAATATAGCTTATTCATTTTCAGGGTTTTGTGCACAGACAGATTCTCTGAAAGCCGAGGAAACTTCGTTTTCTCAGCGGGGAAAATTACCGCCTCCATTTCCCTCGTTTCCCTTTAAAACCAAAGATCTGATCATCTCCGTGTTCTCTCTGCATTTACTGATGTGCAAATTTGTGCTTTGAAGCAAAAACGACTGCGACCCTGTTGATCTGAGAACTATGAAACTATAAACTCCTCGCAGTCAACTTTAAAGAAAAGGTGTCCAAGTTAATATTTTCTGATTGTTCTCACAATAACGGCACAGATTAAGGTGAAATAAAGCAACTTTTTCACTTTTCAAGGTTGCTGATAAAACAAGACCGTCGGCACCACACCTTCTGCCAGCAGGTAGCAGCCGACGCAGGAACCGCCTGAATCATCAGCAGAACGTTAAAAACTTCACATCCCTGAACTTTACGGGCCAGCAACCGTGTTTAAACTGTCAGAAAACCAACTACAGGAACAACGTGGGATCCTCAGCGTATCTGTGATGGCTTAATACTGTGTTCACAAACAAAGACAACTTCACAACAAATGAGCTAAAGAAGTGAATTTACTCTGATCCAGGCTCGTTAGATCAGGAAACCGGGACATTTTGAGGGATGTTGTTCAGCTTCCAGTCCGCTGCCCAACACCAAGTCCCTCCTGAACACGAAACTTTCTGAGAATAAACGAGTTAATGGCTTAAAAATGTTCCCTGTAGAAGTGGCAGCAGGACACCTCAGGGCACCTCAGGTGCTCGGTGACTTGGTGATCTTAACCGGTGAATAAAAACAACTGGACTTCCTGTTAGCAGCTCCGGTTTGCTCAGATCGTCCCTCCGAAGGTTAAAACCCGAGAACTTCAAGGCTTATTGGAGGAGGTTTGGTTGGTTAGTTACAGTTCCTGTGACAACAGCAGGTTTAAAATCTGATCTGGGATGATGATGATGATGAACACCTGCCCGGCTCAGGGTCCGGCTCGGTCTGCAGTGTGATCCAGCATCGACAGTAAAACGGACTTCAGGAGCAACCCAGCATGACAGAAACCATTTTAAAACAAGCCAGTCATCACTGACAACGTGCAATTTAAAAACTGTGACATCAGAAGTTCAGTAGTAAGGCCCGATGTTCTCGTAGCCGGCGTAACTCGGCCAGTCAGGGAAGAGTCCGTGTGAACAGGTGGGGCTGCCGTACCGGTCGAAGTGGATCCCGAACTGCGATGGGTCCGAGTGGTGGTTTTTCTTCATGTAGGACCAGACGATGCGGTAGTTCTTACCCTGGTTGCTGTCCCAGTACTCGTTCCCGCTCACCTTGTAGCACACGGCGAACTCCACTTGCTCGTTGGGCCACATCTCGGCGGGCAGAGACACCTCGAAGGAGAAGGTGTCGCTGTACGAGGTCGGGTACGTGTCCTTCACATATTCACAGCTGACATCCGTGTGGCTTTTCCACGAGTCAAAGGTCACCCGAAGCATCACGGACTTCTCAAACGATACATTTTTTACTTTAACGGTTCCTGCAAAGGCCTTCTCCTTCAGCACGCAGTGCTCCAGGCTCACGAGGTTCTGCTCCAGGTTCTGCCGGAACAGCAGGTAGTCGGAGGAGGGCTGAGTGAAATCCAGCACCAGTTTGTCCTCCTCCATGGACGACAGCGTGAGCTTGGAGCTCAGCATTTCCTGAATGTTCGCAGGGATTTCTATGGGGTCTGTGAACTTGGAGAAGATCTTCACCTTGGTTAAGGACAGACCTTTGTGGTCGGCAAACGTAACACGTTTCTTTTTTTTCGTGTCTTTGCTGGTGATGGCGCCATCTTCAGGCTCAGTTTTGTTGACACAGGTTGTGTGCTGGAACCTCAGGCAGGAGCTCCGGACCGACTTCTGTACCGTAGAGGTGGTGGTGAAGACGAACTCCTCCTTGGACAGGTAGAGGGGCATGGTCACGTCCATCGGCATGTCGGGCTCCGGAGGAAACATGCACAGAGCGCTGAAACACAGAGAAGTCAGACTGTTAGTGCTGAGTGAGAGCTTCACAAGGCGTCTGCTCCTCAGAGCCGCTCTCGCTTCAGCTCTGCTACATCCATCGTTTTCACAACATCTGGTCAAAGCTGCCTGTAGAAACGTTGGCCGTCGTCGGGTCTAGACTCAATTTTCTCAAGAAAAGAAATAGTTGAATTTAACATCAGTTTTTAGAAGTTCTTTCAAACAATCTGAAGACCTTAAAAATATAATTAAAATTTTGAACGAAGGCAAAAACCATTTGGTTTTCCTTGGTTAAGACAAAGACATCTGTAGAAATCCCTTTGCCGTACTGGGGCCACATTCTGACCCAGACCTCACCAGCCCCGGAAAACTCTCCCATCTTCAGTGTGTCCGTCTCTACAGTTCAGGAGAAACATGAAGATTCAAGAC